GAAGAAGAAGAAGAGAGCTAAGCAGGAAGGGAGTTCAAGTCTTCTTAGGTTGAAGAATAAAACATGAGGAGGAGGGAGAGGAGGAAGAAGGAGAATAACAGAAGGAGAAGGAGGAGGGAGAAGAAGAATAACAAGAGGGGGAAGAGGAAGAAAAATAATAACAGGAGGAAAGAAGGAGGGAGATAATAACAGGAAGAGGAAGAGGAGGAGAAAGAAGAATAATAGGAGAGGAGGAGGAAGAAGAAGAAGAAGAATAACAGATGGAGGAAGAGGAGGGGGAGAGTGTGGGGTTCCGGCCTCCAGTAAGCATGTCGTAATGGGCTGACATTGAAGCCTCAACCACGTCTTTTGGTTAGGTTAGGTTAGGTTAGGTCAGCACACACACACACACACACACACACACACACACACACACACACACACACACACACACACGGGTAAGTACAAGAACAAGGTGCGGTAGAATGCTATAATAAGGACGGTGGTGGTCAGGTCACGGTCGTGGGAATGTGATGACCGCAGTTCCCAGAGGTCATGTGGCTTGGCGTGTCAGCTTGGGTGAGAGAGAGAGAGAGAGAGAGGGGGGGGGTAATGCGTTTGTCAGTCAAGACGAGGAAAATTAACACCAGGGCCGGCTGAATCATAAGAACATAAGAACATAAGAAATTAAGGAGTCTGCAATAGGCTGGTTGGCCTGTGCATGGCAGCTCCTGTCGAGAGTTACTACCACTCTCTATCATCCATGAATCTATCTAGCCTCCTTTTGAAACTTTCCAGAGTTCCCGCACTTACTACAAAGTTGCTAAGCTTGTTCCACTCGTCCACCACCCTATTTGTGAACCAGTTTCTTCCTATCTCCCTCCTAAACCTAAACTTATCCAACTTGAATCCGTTGCTCCGAGTCCTATCCTGCTCGGATATTATAAGAACTTTATCTATATCACCTTTATTGATTCCTTTCACCCACTTAAATACTTCTATCATATCTCCCCGCACTCTTCGTCTTTCTAGGGAATGCAAGTTAAGTTTCTTTAACCTATCCTGATATGGAAGGCTTCTAAGTCCCGGAATCATTTTTGTCATTCTTCGCTGCACCGACTCTAGTGAATTTATATCCATTCTATAATAGGGGCACCAGAACTGAACCGCATAATCGAGGTGCGGCCTGACTAGCGCAAGATATAGTTGCAACAAGACCTCTGCACTCTTGTTACTTACACTTCTAGATATAAAACCCAATACTCTGTTTGCCTTATTTCGAACATTAACGCACTGTTTTCTAGGCCCCCAGGTCTCTTTTCACAAGTCGACTTCTAGGTTGATACAGCCGCCAGAACAGACCGGTTACTCACTCCTGCCAGGAACACCAGGCCTATTGTACCCACTCCTGGCCAGAACACCAGGCCGGTTGTACCACCCTGGCCAGAACACCAGGGCCGGCTGCCCACCCCTGGCCAGAACACCAGGGCCGGCTAGGCCCCAATTCTGGCTGAACACCAGGGGTTTATTGTACCCACTCCGGCCAGAACACCAGGGCCGGCTGTGTCTAATTCCTGGCCAGAACAACACCAGGCCGGCTAGGTACCACCCTGGCCAGAACACCAGGGCCGGCTGTACCCACCCTGGCCAGAACACCAGGGCCGGCTGTACCCACCCTGGCCAGAACACCAGGGCCGGCTGTACCCACCCTGGCCAGGGTTATGTGGCAATACAATGATGCTTACCTCATCTGAACATTAGTCACACCTACAGCTTCTTTCACATGAATATTTTACTGCATGAATATATATCTATCTATGTATCTATCTATCTACCTATCTATCTCTCTATCCACCCATCCATTCATCTATCTATCTATGTATCTATCTATCTACCTATCTATCTCTCTATCCACCCATCCATTCATGTATCTATCTATGTATCTATCTATCTACCTATCTATCTCTCTATCCATCCATCCATTCATCTATCTATCTATGTATCTATCTATCTACCTATCTATCTCTCTATCCATCCATCCATTCATCTATCTATCTATGTATCTATCTATCTACCTATCTATCTCTCTATCCACCCATCCATTCATCTATCTATCTATGTATCTATCTATCTACCTATCTATCTCTCTATCCACCCATCCATTCATCTATCTATCTATCTATATATCTATCTATCTATCTATCTATCTCTCTATCCACCCATCCATTCATGTATCTATCTATCTATCTATATATCTATCTATCTATCTATCTATCTCTCTCTCTATCCACCCATCCATTCATCTATCTATCTATGTATGTATCTATCTATCTATCTATCTCTCTATCCACCCATCCATTCATCTATCTATCTATCTATCTATCTATCTATCTATCTATCTATCTATCTATCCACCCATCCATTCATCTATCTATCTATCTATCTATCTATCTATCTATCTATCTATCTCTCTATCCACCCATCCATTCATCTATCTATCTATCCATCCATCCATTCATCTATCTATCCATCCATCTATCCATCCATCCATCCACCCATCCATCCATTCATCTATCCACCCATCCATCCATCCATCCATCTATCCATCTATCCATCTGTCCATCTATCCACCCATCCATCTGGTGGACTAACAGTACAGTAGCCGACACTAATGTTGAGTTTTGAAAATGTTCCTATTGTTGATATTTATACATTACTCTCCACCTGTCTGTCTGTCTGTCTGTCTGTCTGTTTGTCTGTCTGTCTGTCTGTCTGTTTGTCTGTCTGTTTGTCTGTCTGTCTGTTTGTTTATTTGTCTGTTTGTCTGTTTGTTTGTCTGTCTGTTTGTTTGTCTGTCTGTTTGTGTGTCTGTCTGTTTGTTTGTCCGTCTGTTTGTTTGTCTGTCTGCCTGTTTGTTTGTTTGTCTGTTTGCCTGTCTGTTTGTTTGTCTGTTTATTTGTTTGTTTGTTCGTTTGTTTGTCTGTTCGTTTGTTTGTCTGACTGTTTGTTTGTCTGTCGTTTGCTCTGTCTGTTCAGTTTTCCGTTCGTCTGTCTGTTTGTCTGTTTATTTGTTTGTTTGTCTGTTTGTTTGTCTGTCTGTTTGTTTGTTCGTCTGTTTGTTTGTCTGGGTTCGTTTGTTTGTCTGTCTGCTTGCTTCTGTTCTGTCTTCGCCTGTCTGTTCGTTTGTTTGTCTGTTTGTCTGTTTATTTGTCTGTTTGTATGTTTGTTTGTTCGTTCGTTTGTGTGTCTGTTCGTTTTATGGTTCGTTCGTTTGTTTGTCTGTCTGTTCGTTTGTTTGTCTGTTTGTCTGTTTGTCTGTCTGTCTGTTTGTCTGTCTGTTTGTGTGTGTCTGTCTGTTTGTTTGGTCTGTCTGTTTGTTTGTCTGGTCTGCCTGTTTCGGTTTGTTTGTCTGTTCGTTTATTTGCCTGTTTGTCTGTTTGTTGCTTCCTGTCTGTTTGTTTTGTCTGTCTGTTTGTTTGTCTGTCTGTTTGTTTGTCTGTTCGTTTGTTTGTCTGTCTGCCTGTTCGTCTGTTTGTTTGTCTGTTTCTGTTCGTTTATTTGTCTGTTTGTTCGTTTGTTTGTTCGTCTGCTTGTTTGTCTGGTTCTGTTTGGTCTGGTCTGTTTGTGTGTCTGTCTGTTTGTTTGTTTGTCTGTTTTTCTGTGTGTCTGTCTGTTTGTCCGTCTGTTTGTTTGTCTGTCTGTTTGTTTGCCTGTCTGCCTGTTTGTCTGTTTGTTTGTCCGTCTGTTTGTCTGTCTGTCTGTTTGTTTGTCTGTCTGTCTGTTTGTTTGTCTGTCTGTCTGTCTGTCTGTTTGTTTGTCTGTTTTTCTGTGTGTCTGTTTATATGTCTGTCTGTCTGTCTGTCTGTCTGACTGTCTGTCTGTCTGTCGCTCTGTTTGTTTCATAACCTAACCTAACCTAACCTGGTAACACTGTAACTCATATTGCATAATCTGGTAACACTGTAACTCATATTACATACAGTAATTTGTAACACTGTAACTCCTTACATAACCTGGTCACACTCTAACTTATAATACATAACTTGGTAACACTGTAACTTGTAATACATAACTTGGTAACACTGTAACTTGTAATACATAACTTGGTAACACTGTAACTTATAATACATAGCTTGGTAACACTGTAACTCGTACTACATAAGCGGGTAACACTGTAACTTGTAATACACAACCTGGTAACACTGTAACTCGTACTACATAACCGGGTAACACTGTAACTTGTATTATAAAGCGTTCTGACACTCACGGTAACCTCATTATGTAACACGCAGATTAATGTCACTGTAACTTCAGTTTTCGCCTCTGTCAGCCGCTGTCAGCCACTGTCAGTAGACGCTGGCTCAATTCCAGTGCCAATAATATACTGTACAGTGTGCGTGTGTGTGTACTTGAAACACATTAGGAATTCAGACTGAAAAAAATGACGAACGAAATGAGTGAGACCTATACTGTTGGTGATAAAGATGAGGCCACATAGTGAGAGTGGCTGTTGAATATACTGTATAATGTATGATGCTGAGGTTTTGAAGTAGGTGGAAGAAAAATGTTTGTGATATTTATTGTTTTCCTGGGTTTACACATCACAGTAACTCCTACTACAGTCTTGAGTCTGTTTCGTGCATTACAGAATTTACCAAGCGTAAAATAGTTTAATAAAGAGTAAAATTGTTTCTTTTATTTTATGTCAATTGAATTATTATTTACCTTCCGTGTACCGTGTAAATGGAACGGCATTGTTAGTATTGATTTATTTCATGAACACTCATGAATTGAAATCCTGACCCTATTACTAAATCACTAGTTAGTTTATACTATTCAGGTGTTTTCTATTGTTTAAAATATCAAGAATTCAACGTGATATTTGCATTACAGTGTATTCAGATGTGAATTAACTCACTCTACAATAGAATACCCTCAAAGTACGGTACAAAACAGAGATAAACTCGTTTCTCTGGTTCTCCATCAGTGTTTCCTCCCGCCCCAGCTAGCGCAGGAGCTTACCCAGCATGCTCAGCACGCCAGGTCCAAGCTTAGGAGGTGGGAAATTACTTCTCCGTTTTTAATTCCGTAAAATGTCGACAACACCTCATAACAGAAAGAAAGTCTGCTACTACTATGACAGTGAGTATATTTTGGATTTATCTGAGTGATCTTGAGTGTAATAAATATCGCTAATATTGAGTTATCTGCATAAGATGAATCGAGCGCTGATATCGGAACCAAACAATCGGAAACTCTTAGTAATTACTCTCATCATATTAAATTAATTTGTCAAGTACCAGTTGATTAAAGAACATTTGAAGTTATATGTTAAAGTTATTAATTTTAAATGTAAATATCAGGTTAATTCTTTGTTTATACGCGGATAAAGTAATGTTTTAAAAGTTGAAGAGAAAAGGGGGGATGGGTAGTGAGTGTGTACCGTAGTGTGGTGGACGTGTTTGAATGGTAGTGTCCCCACGCTACTACATATATCCTTCAATATTTACCACAATAAAATCACCATACAAGTATACATTGACTCATGATACATATCAACAATACAGGGAAATAATATACATAAACAAAGCAGGTATATAAACAATATATACTGTACGCTACTGGTATATATATATACTTCACCATACTCATAAATCACACAATAACTCACCATATACTTCACCATAAAGACTCATAGCTTGATAGATTTATACATAGTGGAGATATATTTCACTATTCTCTCTTCTACTTGTATACAGAAAACCTTTAAATAATGATGCAATGTTTGTACGTGTGTGTGTGTGTCTGTAGAGAAACACAATACAATACTCACAATATTTTAATTTTTATCCATTTACTACATCATTCTGACCAATACTTTGACTTTCCTTTCTCACATAATATTAGATGATGATTTATAACATTTCTAAATAGATAAGAAAATGGGTCAATTTATGAAAGTAAGTGTACTGAAATAGGTCAAGGAGTTAACCCCAAAGTAACCTAATGCTGTGGTGTTGTGGCTACATTTGGCCTATTCATTTATTTCCTGGATATTATTTCAGTTTTTATATATACTTTAATACACATTACTCTACCTTGAATATGATAATTTAATCAATACATAAAAGGTAGGGATTAATCTCATCTGTAGGTGCCATTAGCCCAAGTAGGAATACCTGAAGATTGGTCACCTTGCTATTTCACCTGTAGTTTAATCACCCTAATCCTACCTGGGGGTTAGGTTAGGTTTGGTTTGGTTAGCCTTAGGGTGTATAATCTTGCTTCACCTTATGATTAATCACCCTAGCACTAACCTGACTTAACCTAATGCTAACTTAACCCTCGCAGGTGCTATATAAGTGGTTAATCTTCAGGTGAAATAAGCAGTGTTAGGGGCTCAATCTTCAGGTGAAATAAGCAGTGTTAGGGGCTCAATCTTCAGGTGAAATAAGCAGTGTTAGGGGCTCAATCTTCAGATGAAATAAGCAGTGTTAGGGGCTCAATCTTCAGGTGAAATAAGCAGTGTTAGGGGCTCAATCTTCAGATGAAATAAGCAGTGTTAGGGGCTCAATCTTCAGGTGAAATAAGCAGTGTTAGGGGCTCAATCTTCAGATGAAATAAGCAGTGTTAGGGGCTCAATCTTCAGGTGAAATAATCAGTGTTAGGGGCTCAATCTTCAGGTGAAATAAGCAGTGTTAGGGGCTCAATCTTCAGGTGAATTAAGCAGTGTTAGGGGCTCAATCTTCAGATGAAATAAGCAGTGTTAGGGGCTCAATCTTCAGGTGAAATAAGCAGTGTTAGGGGCTCAATCTTCAGGTGAAATAAGCAGTGTTAGGGGCTCAATCTTCAGGTGAAATAAGCAGTGTTAGGGGCTCAATCTTCAGATGAAATAAGCAGTGTTAGGGGCTCAATCTTCAGGTGAAATAAGCAGTGTTAGGGGCTCAATCTTCAGATGAAATAAGCAGTGTTAGGGGCTCAATCTTCAGGTGAAATAATCAGTGTTAGGGGCTCAATCTTCAGGTGAAATAAGCAGTGTTAGGGGCTCAATCTTCAGGTGAATTAAGCAGTGTTAGGGGCTCAATCTTCAGATGAAATAAGCAGTGAGCCTGTCTCTCAGGTGAAATACAGTGTTAGGGGCTCAATCTTCAGGTGAAGGCCAATACAGTGTTAGGGGCCTAATCTTCAGGCATCAAGCAGTGTTAGGGGCTCCACCTTCAGCAATTAAGCAGTGTTAGGGCCTGTTCGAGGTGAAATAAGCAGTGTTAGGGGCTCAATCTTCAGATGAAGCTTGCAGTGTTAGGGGTCCAATTGTGTGAATGCTACAGTGAACACCCTGACAGTACAGTGTTAGGGGCTCAATCTTCAGGTGAAATAAGCAGTGTTAGGGGCTCAATCTTCAGGTGAAATAAGCAGTGTTAGGGGCTCAATCTTCAGATGAAATAAACAGTATTAGGGGCACAATCTTCAGGTGAAATAAGCAGTGTTAGGGGCTCAAACTGTAAATAAGCAGTGTGGGCTCAATCTTCAGATGAAATAAGAAAAGTTAGGGTTCAATCTTCAGGTGAAGCCACAGTGTTAGGGGCTCAACCAGGTGAAATAAACAGTATTAGGGCCCAATCTTCAGGTGAAATAAGAAAGGGGCTCAATCTTCTCAGATGAAATAAGCAGTGTTAGGGGTTCAATTCCAGGTGAAATACAGTGTTAGGGGCTCAATCTTCAGATGAAATAAACAGTATTAGGGGCTCAATCTTCAGGTGAAATAAGCAGCTAGGGGCTCAATCTTCAGGTGAAATAAGCACTTCGGGTGATCTTATGCCGCGTCCGTAAAAAAAAATAAAAATAAACCCGTAAAGATCAAGTAAAATAAGCTAGGGGGGCAATTCTTCAGGAGATCCATTGGAATGCATTTTGTGTACTGAATGGTGAGGATGGGAGATGGAAAACGAATTATGAGGTGAACCAATATACTACAGTAGCCAGGTAAACCACGAGAAAACCAGGTAAGCTATGAGAGAACCAGGTAAACTATAAGAGAACCAGGTAAGCTATGAGAGAACCAGGTAAGCTATGAGAGAACCAGGTAAACTATAAGAGAACCAGGTAAGCTATGAGAGAACCAGGTAAGCTATGAGAAAACCAGGTAAGCTATAAGAGAACCAGGTAAGCTATGAGAGAACCAGGTAAACTATAAGAGAACCAGGTAAGCTATAAGAGAACCAGGTAAGCTATGAGAGAACCAGGTAAACTATAAGAGAACCAGGTAAGCTATGAGAGAACCAGGTAAGCTATGAGAGAACCAGGTAAGCTATAAGAGAACCAGGTGTTTAAGTGAGAGAAACCAGGTAAATTATATAAGAACCCAGGTAAACTGAAAAGAGAAAACTAGGTAAACTATAAGAGAAACCAGGTGTAAGCTATAAGAGAAAACCAGGTAAAACCAGGAGAACTGTAAGCTTATGATGAACCAGGTAAGCTATGAGAGAACCAGGTAAGCTATAAGAGAACCAGGTAAACTATAAGAGAACCAGGTAAACTATAAGAGAACCAGGTAAGCTATGAGAGAACCAGGTAAACTATAAGAGAACCAGGTAAGCTATAAGAGAACCAGGTAAGCTATGAGAGAACCAGGTAAACTATAAGAGAACCAGGTAAACTATAAGAGAACCAGGTAAACTATAAGAGAACCAGGTAAACTATAAGAGAACCAGGTAAGCTATGAGAGAACCAGGTAAGCTATGAGAAAACCAGGTAAGCTATGAGAGAACCAGGTAAACTATAAGAGAACCAGGTAAGCTATGAGAGAACCAGGTAAACTATAAGAGAACCAGGTAAACTATAAGAGAACCAGGTAAGCTATAAGAGAACAAGGTAAGCTATGAGAGAACCAGGTAAACTATAAGAGAACCAGGTAAACTATGAGAGAAACACCCATTGATGTTGGCCACCTTGCAGCTAACATCCATTGACTCTAACAGCTCTTTAAGGGTTGTTATTGAATCCTCTGAAGACTTGTCCTCTCCCAAGCTTATATTCACCTGAAGATTAATCACCCCCACTGCTGTACTACTGTGGGGGTTAGGTAATTATTAGGATGGTTAATTTTCAGGTTAAATAAACTGGTATGCAAATCATCAGGTAAATCTTAATATGGTAGTTTTATATTTAACCTAATCTGACCCCTCCTGTGCATAGCTTCACATCGGCTGTTTGTAAAGGTTAAGGAGAGGGGTCACCAATGTATGGGGATCTGGTTGGATTGTATTGAAGATCAACAGAAAAAACCCTCAATATATTTTACTATTTGGATTACCTGAACATTAGACATCCCAAATGTTGCCTGGAGAGGGTTAGGTTAGCATTAGGGTGATTAATCTTTATGTGACTTCAGATATTCCTATGTTACTTACCTAGTTTGTTCACTATGGTAATGTAACTCTTAAAAAACAACAGTTGAAACAAAGAACTGTGATTTATATCTTCATTGGATAGTGTTTTTATTTTTTTATTTTTTTTATTTTTTTGTCTTGTGGAATGAAAACCCAAATTAAAAGTCTTTAAATTAGACACATGAGTAAGAAATGTATCCCTGTGAATATTGATACCTTGTACTGGTAGAGACATTATTTAAAGCTATTTCTGTTGGTCTAGTACATGTTGACATTTTGGGAGAACAGATCAGAACCCAATAGTGATTTTTCCTGAAATATATGATGTTATGTAAAAAAAATGCAGATCTGTGGGAGTGGAAGAGAAATATTGAATAGATATGTGATGTTATGGAAGTTTTAATACAGTACTCGGAATTTTTTTATCACGTTACGACTCTGTTATGGCAAACAGTTGTGATGGCAGACAACATGAACTGGCTAAAAATGGGTTAGGGTAGGGGTTGGTTTAGGGTTTTGTCAGCTGCTTTCACGACTGGTTTAGAGGAATAGCAAATTTTTCTTTCACTCTCTCACTAGTGATTTTAATGGCTATTCTATAATAAAGCATTCTTAATAATAGGTAGCAGAAACTAGGCAGCCTTAATTTTGTGGGGTTATGTTGAGTTTGATGGATTATTCTGTGTACAGGGGAAGTCTTTTGTAATGAATTTAATAGGTCATTCCTCTCTAACCTAGCCATAAGTTTTTGCATGGAGAGTTGACATGTGATAAGTTGAATTTAATTTCTTTCTCCTTCACTATATTTATATGAGGCAGAGTACAGTACTTTAAAACAGTGGGAAATATTTGAAGTGAATCTCTCCCAGACACAAGACTCCTCTTACTGGTGAAGGGTGGCCAGACAGTGGTGATCTGTTGTATAAGTGGTGACTCTCTCAACCTTTGCTTAGGAAACTGACACAACCACCAGGGCGTATATCAGGCGAGGCTTACAGTAATAGTAATTAATAAGATGTTAGTCATAATAGTAAATTAAGATCATGCATTTGGCTGTTCCTTCACACACACACACACAGACATACTCATTAGTAACCACTGGACTGTAACCGCCAAAGATTATTATGTGTAATTACGTATATAATTTTGTACTTGTTGTAGGCAAGAACCAGGTCTGTGCATCAGAGTTCAGTGTTATAGTTAAGAGGTTAAAGTTCATTGTATTTAGGTGGAGGTATTTATTATTTACAGCTAAAGCCAAGGTAGTGTACAGGGTTGTGATATGAACCGATTAGAGAAAATGGTATGTCTTAAAAATAAATTGACACAAGGCTTGAAATATACAGGTACTTGTATATAAAAATAATGGTTGCCCCTCGTGTAACAAGGATGGCCGGCCCAAGAGCCACCTAGGCGTGGATTTGTTTAAGGTGTAGAAGCTGTAGCAAACACAACAACCACACCCTGAGTTAGCGAGCTGCATGACCCAGTGTCAAGGAATAGTCCGAGAAGACCGGACAACTCGCCAACTGCACTGGCTAACCATTATCCCGGAATACGATCCGCAAATCGATTAACATCCAAGTTCTCAATTACTGCTGGGTAGACAGAGGCAAATGGCACGAAGAAACATGCCCATAGTTTCACCCTGCCTGGGGATCGAACTCAGGTCCGTTCGCTTGCAAGGCGAGGATGCTGACCATTACACCGCAGGTCGCCACAAGCTTGAAATACACACACACACACACACACACAGTAAAACTAAGACTTACAGTATTCCTGTAAGTGATATTGGGATTACAGTCTTAATCATGTTTAATGGTCAGCCACCCTGCAGTACTGTATTGTAGGACATAATTTACAGGGGTGAAGACTGCAGTGTATGATAGCATAATGACTTTGCCAGCTGGTTAATGAATTAATGGGTCTAAAAAAATTAACCTTGAGCAAAAAAAATGTGCAAGAATAGCTTTAGCTAGTTTGCATGTTGTTTATGATATTAATGTGCAGTAATTGCCTTGAGTGTCTGTTTATCCACTTAAATGCTTTGGGTCACCTGAAAAAAATCCCCCACCCCAACTTACTTTGCCTGAAGATCAACCACCCTAACCTAACCAAGCCCCCACCCCTACAGGTAGCATTAGTAAAGGTTAATCTACAGCTGAGATAACTCTTTATATCTTTACTCTATTTAATTTAATTAGTATATACCTGTAGTGTGTGTGTGTGTGTGTGTGTGTGTGACCACACAAACATCCTTGCCCCCTTGTCTCCTGTTCCTGAAACTTTCTCCTACTTCCCTATCTCAACTTTCTATTCCTCTCTCTCTCTCTCTCCAGGTGTAATAAGCTCTTTGATTATAGTTAATTAGTACAGAGAGTATTTATTGTACAGTTAAATTAAAACACAGTTACAGTACCATGCTGATGCCACTGTTTTCGTTTCTTCTTCTTTCATATTTTAGGTTTTCTTTCTTCATTGTAAACTTCCTCTAAACTGAGAGGTTCTGAGGGAGGGGGAAATATTACAGTTTTAAGTTCAGAATTATAGCAAAATATGTAATGTGACACCGGACATTATGCTCTTACTTCAGTACAGTAGTTATTTTGTTTACTGTGCTTCCTGTAATGATTTGTAACCCAGTTATTTAAACCAATTCCATGTTTTTCAGGTGATATTGGTAACTACTATTATGGACAAGGTCATCCTATGAAGCCCCACAGAATTCGCATGACACACAATCTTCTCCTTAATTATGGCCTGTACAGAAAGATGGAAATTTATGTGAGTAAAGATAAAAAAAGTCCCAGATCACCTGAAGTTTAGTTCCTTCCAGTTTATTTCACCTGAATCTTGGGGGGGGGGTTAGGTTAATGTTAGGGTGGTTAATCTTCAGGTGGAATAAGCTTGGGGGAGGTGTATCGTCAGGTGATCTGGTTTTTCTGTTCATTGTTGTAATCTTTTTGTCATTCTTATTACTATTCCATTCCTTTGATGATTCTCTGCCTCTTTGTCCACCCAACACAGAAGCGGGAGATGAGTAGTGACGGTGGATATATATATATATATATATATATGCTGATAACCCTGAGGAAGGAAGAAAACCACGAAGTTCCCAAGCACTTTAGGTGTAATTCATCTTCAGGGGTAGTATGGGCTCACCTGGTCAATTCTAGCTGGAAACCTTCTGTACCTACAGTGATTTACTTGCATATATATATATACATATATATAATATACATATATATATATATATATATATATATATATATATATATATATATATATATATATATATATATATATATATATATATATATATATATAGTGACTACAGCTGGTGGTGGTTGGTCTTCTTTTATATTTTCACAGAATTGTTTGGTTGAGTGAACTGTATACAAATCCAGATAGAATCAATACTATCAGAGTTTGGTTAAAGTCACACTGGTTTATTGCGGCCAAAATGAGACATAGTTTGATGGTGGTTTTGACTGTATAAGAATGGAGTCAACTTGATATACTGCATATCAGTGGTTCTCAACCTTGTTTGCCCCATGCACCCCTTTCACCATATGTCAGAATGTCATTCCCCCCTCCTTTCCAAGATTGTCTGCCTCAAAAAGTGCATTCCAAATAATATGCATATAATACTGAAAATCCTTTATTTTTTTTCCATATTAGTATCAGTTCCCCCCTGAAAACCTGAGGGGGGAAATTCCCCCCTGGTTGAGAACCCCTGCTGTATATATATAATTGTAGGAAATATATGGAGATGAAATATAAATTACCTTTCAGAGACCACACAAAGCTACTCAGGACGAGATGACAAAGTTCCACAGCGACGACTACATTCGATTTATACGCTCCATCCGGCCAGACAACATGAACGAATACAACAAACAGATGCAGAAATGTAAGTAGTCCTCTCGGCCATAAAAACAATGGGACTACCTTTTTATATGATTGGTGGAAGGAGTAGAGTCATTTCCCTAAAACCAGGTGAGGATTTACTTAAGAGTGAAGGTGATTGGTGTCATATACCCCAAGTGTGGCACATGACAGGATTAAAGACTTGAATCAGTACCAGACTTTCATCTTTTTTCCTATTATTTTGTTATTTATTTATTTTTTCCAAGTTAATAAAAATTAGCTGTTTTTATTGTAGGTGGCCTTTGTCTTATAATTTATTTGTATTAGTACAGTACAAGGGTTAAAATATCAGGTTACAGTAGTATTTCTTTATGTATTGTCACTCATACATGCACTGTTCATTCACTCATACATGTTTGTCTTTAATTTGCAGTTAATGTTGGAGAGGACTGTCCAGTGTTTGATGGCCTGTATGAGTTCTGTCAGTTATCGTCCGGCGGATCTATCGCCGGAGCTGTAAAATTGAACAAACAAGCGTGTGATATAGCTGTCAACTGGGCGGGCGGCCTCCATCACGCCAAAAAGGTATCATTTGTAGAAATTTTTATGGATATGTAAATGTATTGTATTTGATAAAGAGTAAGGTGGAGGTTCTCACAAGTGCTACAGCCGAGACAATAACCGGGGGATTATTTCGAGAACTGTAATGGAACATAGAGGTCGACCAGATGTTTATGTGTATGATGCATAAGAAAACTTAAGCAGTGCTTCCTAGTAACCAGTTGCCGTTTATTTTCACGTGACCAGAGTGAGGCATCAGGGTTTTGTTACGTCAACGATATTGTCCTGGCAATCTTAGAGCTGCTCAAGTACCACCAGCGTGTCCTCTACATCGATATCGACATTCACCACGGAGACGGGGTCGAGGAGGCCTTCTACACTACCGACAGAGTCATGACCGTTTCCTTCCATAAATACGGAGAATATTTCCCCGGGACTGGTGACCTGAGGGTGAGTTATGGCAGTTTTGTTTAGCGTTTTACAGTATTTGGGAGTCGTTTATTAAGACAAGATTAATCCTTTAGGAAAATTCTGAGTTTTGATGGGGGGAAAGTTTGAGGATGAAATTAATGGATTTTTGAATCTTTTTAAGCAGTCCCAGTTTTTGTTTCACATGTAATACAGGTAAGATAAGATGCTTTTATAGTTAATTTTTGTCTTACATTGCAGGATATTGGTGCAGGAAAAGGCAAATATTATGCAGTCAACTTTCCTTTGAGAGACGGAATTGATGATGAAAGTTATGAAAGCATATTTGTTCCCATCTTAACAAAGGTGAGTTGTGTTAAATGTTTTGGTTAATAGTGTTCACGGTTGTAAATAAGACTTGGAGTAGTGTAGTGGTTATGGTGAGAATAGTGGCTGGCTACAGTGAAGGGTGTAAGAACTACCTTTGGCCTAAGTTAGTTGAATCATTAAACACATTTTGCTGAAACAGTGTTTGGGTAATCTGGCACACTTATTGTTATAATTATTGTGGACAAATTAAACAAATTTATCTTAACTGTAGCTGATGGTTGACAGATCAGTAGATAAGTGATTTCCTGTTGACTATTAGCTTATAAGGTCAACTATTTAACACCACATTTTCTAAACATAGTTTGTATAAGATTGTTTAATGATCATTTTCATAAGGTATTAATCTGTTTTGTTCTGTGAATAATTTTAAGGAGATCACATGTACATATTTTAAGAGCCAGATATTGTATATATCACAGTTGTTATAAACATTTTTCTTACGTGCAGCTGGTGGTATTTTTTTCTTCAATACTTTTTGTATGAAGAAGACTAATTTTATCATCATTACCTATCTGACACTATTTATAAATAATTTACTTGTGATTCTCTTGGCACAAACTCATGTTTCTATCACAAATAGTACACGTTCTATAACTAAATGTGTAGAGGTATCTGACACTCATGGATGTAGTGTGTGAGGGAGGCTGTGGAGTTTAAGCATCTGACCGCCAAGAGGCAGCATAATCATGAGTGTTAACAAGATTGGTCACTGCACTGGACAATATCTACCATAGTAACTGGATGTTTTAGCTTGGAACAATTTATGTCTTAACAGTACTCTCACTGATGTACTGTACAGTATTGAAATTATGTCCTTAATAAACCAATCTGTTGTGTAATCAAAATATGTACAGTACATATTTTGCTTAATTGCTTTAAGTTGTTCTCTCAGATAATACTGTGCTGTAATAAATTAGTTCACATAACTGTAATGGTTCATTCTGTCTCTCTCTTACATAAACATAAAGCATCAGGGTGTAAGTTAAAGGCACGGCATCAGCTGAGATCCTCGATACTTGTATTTTCCAGGTAATGGAGACATACCAGCCATCTGCCATTGTTCTACAGTGTGGTGCTGATTCCTTGTCAGGTGACAGACTTGGCTGTTTCAATCTCACATTGAAAGGTAAAATTTGAATCTTTTTCTGTTGTAAGATACAGAAAATTTGACATGAACTTCCATACTGCACTGTATATTTAATATTAATATATGATGAACATTTTTACTTTAACTTTCTTATCTTTTTTTGTTCTGTAGGACATGCAAAATGTGTTGAGTTTGTCAAGAAATACAACCTACCCCTTTTACTGTTGGGTGGTGGAGGCTACACTATTCGAAATGTTGCAAGATGCTGGACGTATGAAACTGCCGTTGCACTGAGTACAGATATTGCTAATGAGCTTCCATACAATGACTACTTTGAATATTTTGGACCAGATTTTAAGCTGCACATAAGCCCTTCTAATATGGCTAATCAAAACACACCAGAATATTTAGACAAAATAAAGACGAGATTATTTGAAAACCTGAGGATGCTTCCACACGCTCCAGGAGTCCAGAGCATAGGTGAGTCATGCTTAACGTCATCCACATATTTTTATTTTGGCAGGAGCTACTAATTGATTTCTTAGGGAGTCGAGGTGATTGCTCTTCTGTTATACAAACTGTAGGTCTTTTTTGTGTTTTAAGTAGGACAATATATTCCTCATCTGACACCCTGGCTATGTACTGGATAGATCATGTCAGTTTCTCACTTGTGTATCCCTCTGTTGATTAGATAGAAAGGATTCCTCACCTTGAGGTAGTGGTGAGGCTGTAAGTAGAGGGAGTGTGAGAGATATTTTCTGCTGTGTATTAAAGTTTTGCCTCTTTTTCAGCTATACCAGAAGATGGTGTAGCAGAAGAGAGTGAGGATGAAGATAAGGCCAGTCCAGATGAACGCATCTCTATTCGTGCTTCTGACAAGCGAATTGCTCCTGATAACGAGTATTCCGATTCGGAAGACGAAGGCGATGGTCGTAGAGACGAGAGGTCGTTCAAGCCAAAGAAAAAGACCAAGACGGACGAGGCCGCTACTAACAATGGAGCTGGGGATGATAAAAAGGAAACGTCAATAACAAAAGATGATAAGACCGGAACACAGGTGGGACAGAATGAAACTAAAGTAGAGTCTTGAGGGAAAGTGTATTTTAATGATTAATTTTAATTAGTTAACAGATGGTGAGGTAAATGGTCTCTTAAATAGTGTTGACACTGTTATCAGCTTTGTCAAATATGTGTGAACTTTCATGTGAATGATAACGTCTTCAGATGAAATGAACACTTGACTGCTCAGCATAAGTTTTAGTTGGATATGAGTTATCATTCCTTTTGAGTTCCCTTGGGACCACGTGTTTTATATTTATTCCTATTAAAAGTGGATGCTCTTGTGAGTTGCATGTTCCTTAGCATTACAGAAGTTGATGATCTGCCAAGTCACATGTTTCTTACCACACTCACCATTATAAAAGTTGAGGTTTGGTAAGACACAAGATTCTTATCATTGTCAATTTTACGTGCAGGTTGACGCTGTGGTAAGTGATGTGTTTCTTACTACCTTCATCATTGTCATTAAAGTGGAAGGCCAGGAAGTATACGTGTGTGTTGCCGCTCTCGTGAGTACCACAATTGATGGGTGAGGTCAGTCATTATCTCTGAGACATTAAGAGTGTTGTACTGTACAGCATGGTAAGCTCCTCGTGTGTGTGGTCTTGATGATGGGTGTGACTGGAGATGATAGGTTTGCACTTTATTTGTAGTCAGTATTATCAAAATCTCATGGTTCAGCGAAGGCATACCAGAAGAATGCTCAACAGTAATTCTTTTGTGCGTTGTTAAGGCTTGAAGTACAGTGTATACCATGTTCCTAATTAAATGTTCATCAAATGTAATGTAGGTGTTTACTTCAGAGGTTTTTATATACATTATAGTGCAGTACTAGATAATGGTATATAGGTGTACTACAGTATTTCCAATGAATTTTTTCTGTGTGTTGTTAACTGCTCTCAAAATTTTCTTGGTTTACAGTTCACAAGAAAGATACAGTTCCCATATGAAAATTTTATCAAGTATTTAATTGACGTCTTCGCACATTCGTCATTTCCCTTACACTATTGGCATTAGTACAGAATATTTATCCAGTTTATGAAATAAAATTTTATTGTATTTTATTAATATAAGGTAGTACATACGTGTAGTAATTCTCAGATGATCAGTGGTTCATCGTTATATAGTCATAATATGCACTCACTGCCCGACTCATAAATTATGACTCGTACTTAACGGGGTGCAGAGATGTGTATGGCATGGATTTTGACTTAGGTCATTATTTGTAGGATGTGATTATGTTTAATGCAATATTTGTCATGATATTATGAATTAAAATCCACTTAATGACGGATTATGTGTTGGTTGCTATATTCATCTTAATCATTTTATCAGAGTAATATACAGAAAAACTATTTTTGTAGCTGTGAACTACATTATCATTTGCTCATACATACAGTGCTACAGGGGGGCAGAGAGTAAATTATATGTAAGCCCCACTACAATGGGACATATAACAGTTGGTGTGATACATTTCATTAAAATATGTAATTGAAATTTTATTCAGCCAGGATTATAGCATACTGCTTTTTCAGGGTTGATGGGGAACACCAAGGGACAGGGTGATGCTCTTGATTTACAACCCTATGACCCCGGGTTTAAACCTGGGGTCAGGCAGAGTTGACTGGGGGTTATTCATTGTGATATATGGATAGCCAGTTACCAAGTCATGTCAAGAAACCAGATAAGGTTAACCCTTCTCACTGAACGGTGCCACCCTTTGTAAGGGAGAGATTCAGGAAAGGATGTTATCTCTTCAGTTGATTCAGGTTATAATATAAAGTTAGATTTTCAATGATGATTTGTAGATGCTAGCATTGTATAACTAAAGTACAGGGTTAGTACTCCATAAGGAAAACAAAATTAACATGTTCTGTATACCTAGACTCTTACAATTACTGAATGAAGTGTCTATAAATTGTACAACAAAACATTTGACAATTAATGTGGGATGCCTGCAGATGATTCTAGAAGAACTAGAATTGGTTTACAGTATTTATTTCATATTTGATACTTCACTTATACAGGCAAACTTTACTTTCACCAAAGTTCGTAACATTTTACTGGTAACAGTAATCATGAATTGTAAATAGAAAAGGTCTTATATTTTGATAATTTACCTACCATTTCATACATCACATTGGAGGGTTAGCCTCCCATTTTACCATTCACTGCCATGTTTTTACATAGTGTGGTATGATTATGCACTTGTGCCCATAACTTTCTAAGTGATATGTGTATTATTTGACAATTGTGGATGAATTCTTATTTGTTATAAAGACAATTGACAAAAATTATGAGAATGGCTAGATTTTGTTTATTTAAATTTTCTGACAATATGTAGTTGTAAATTTTATGCTTCTAATAAATAAAGACTTTTGTAAAAATGAACTGTTTTTTCCCACACATTTTAAGGTAAGGAGTGATGCAGAGATGTTCAAGGTGAGTGAAACTAAAGCAACAGAAATCAAATTGATGCCTCCCAGTCTTGTTTATTTGGTGGTGGTGATTCCTGCTAAGGTACCCATCACTTTATACCCGTTACTTCATGCTCACCAGCAACTCTACAAACAAGTACCACAGCCAGCTACAGATACTATGCTTTCCAGTCATTCACATCCAATACTGCTACCTGAGTGTTCCTTCTGTCCCAGTCAAGGGGATTGTGAGAGGACAGTATCTGTTTCAGTGTCAACTGGAAGATAGTAGCTACCTTCAGTTGCTTACTCTTGGGGCAGAGATTCTAGTTCTTAAATTCACAAAGAAAGCTGAACCACCACCGCTTGAAAATACTCGGTGACTGACTCATTTCTTTATTCTAATACATTTAAAACTGCTTCATTTATATTTCCACATTTTATTTAATACATTTTAAGCCGACTTAATTTCAACTCCATCTCATATACGAGTACAGTGGAAGTAGCCAGAGATCAGAACACTACTTCTCCTTGCACCTCCTTTGATCATCCCTTCACTGTCTCTTGGAAATGGAGGGTAGATACAGTATATAAATGTAGAGGATATGGATGCAAAGGAGGTATTACATGGGTGGGGAATAGACATATGGAAACAGCAGTGTTCAAGAGGGGAGGGGCGTCTTGTAGTGGTTGTGTCACGGTAATGCATTAAGGGAGAAGTTATTTAGTCACCCTGCAAATTCTTGCCAAAATAATACAGTACAGTACGTAGCTCTTTTGTGATAAGAAAACTTTATATATTCCTTAAGTTTTATTTCGTCAATGACAATGGTTGCTGAGGAAATATAGTATTTGTGAAGCAGACAGAAGCCACAGTTTCATTAAAGTCTTCATCAAATGCATATAAAAAGTTTGTTGAAAATTGTTCATTATTTAGCAGTAGTTAACCTGTAACATGTGATGGATATGTAAACCTAATTATATCAATACACAATTATAGATGAGTGTACATAGATGATTTTGTAAAAAGTAATTTGCAAATGATGTTGATGATAGATTTAAGGAGCCAATCTTCTGTTTATCAGCTTTATAGAACACAGACAGTGGTTATCAATTACAGATTATTTTAATACATTATAAAAAAAATTATTCAACAAGATATACAATTAGCCAGCAAATACATTTCTCAAAGTTCCTCCTTCCTCTCAATTTTGACGAGTTCCACCTCGAACACGAGCGTTGCATGAGCCGGAATCTTTGGAGGTGCCCCAGATGCCCCGTAACCCAGATCAGAAGGGATAACCAACTTCCTCTTCTCTCCTTCACACATTCTGTCAAGATATAGTTTAGAGTGAGAGTTAAACCTGGTGATAGAAAATCTAGTTCAGTATACAGTCTCTCCTCGACTTATGACAACCCGGACATACGACGGCCATTGTCGTATAAAATATATATTTTTTTGTAATTCCCTTTAAAATGGCTGGCAAGCGTAAAAGTGAGAGTTTTCATTGGGACGGAACCCCGTCGTAAGTCGAGGAGAGACTGTACAGTATAAAGACCGAGACAATTATTTTTTTTTTACAGAAGTCAATGTATACAATATAATGAGTCACTCAATTTCATGCTTTAAAATCTAGTACATACATAATGACAGACTGAATTATTTTTTATGGAAACCAGTGTAGAATATAATAGAAATCAATAAATTCCATGCTATAAGACTCCTGCTGCAATATTGCCCAAACTGGTTCACGCCAACAATCTCACCATAAGACTACTTTGGGTACTCCCTAATTATTGACAACATTAATAGATAAAATGTTTCTCATTATTAATTTTCAAGTGAATGGAAGGAATCCTGCATTCTTAATTTGCATACACCAACAACTCATCAATAAACTTACCCAATTAAACCTTGATCCCATCCTTTTATCACTTGTCCAGAGCCTAAAGTAAATGTCAAAGGCTGGCCCCTAGGGTAGCTGCTGTCAAATTCTGTCCCATCTTCTAGCTTACCCTGTATAAAAATATAAATATAATGAATAATGTGATCAGAAGAAATAAAAACTGTAGAAAAAAATATTGGTCATATTTTTTCTACAATCACTATGGCAATATGATTTTCTTTTTGTTTTCTTACCTCTAAACTAAGTACACATTGCTACAGTATTAAAACCAGGGGTAGAAACTGGTGAATATGAAACAGCATAGAGGAAGTCATGGCTGTAGACCCCCCTAAGCTGGATCCAGAGGCAGCCTGACTCCTTCCACAAGTCACACAACTCTATTTTTTTCCCTTTCTGATAAAATATGCAACAGGTTGTTTACCACTCAGCAAGATGAACACTATCCACTTGTCCCTCCAGTTAAGACCAATGCCATCCATTTTTTTTAAATTGGCATCTACCTTTTATGAATTTCTGCTCGCGCTTCTTAATGATACTTTATTGTAATGACTTTCCATTCAATTACAGTGTGAATGTTTCATAATATAACATTTACTGCACAGCCTTAATGTTGTATGTGCATGTTTATATGGAGAGAATAGTCATTGGAAATACATAAAAAAAAAGGTATAGCTGTGGTAGAAAATATTCAAGAGTATTAAAAGAATCACAGTTAAAGAAGAAGGTAAATACAAAGGCGTAGAAGATTTGTCGTACATGTGGCAACAGACTCGGCAGGAAGCTCACCTGTGTAAGGGAGAAGAGTGTACAATACCTGGATAATAAAGGTCTGGACAAATCTTTGTTTTGTAACTTCCAAACAATAATTACTTTCAAAAGATTCATAACAATTTCTTGGTTACTTACGGTGTAGTGCATGTGTAACAGGTCGCCCCTTCGACTCTTCAGGGTGCAGTTATCTACACGCTTTTTCACTCCAATCTGTAATTTTTTTACTTTCTCCTTCTTCTTCTCCTCTTCCCCAGCACAGAGAACAGAGCACGCGGCCAAGGCCAGCACAACACTCACATCTAACCGCATTATTAAAGTCTGTTGGAAAATAAAGATTAGATACAGATAGTTCAGGTTGAACTGAAACAAGAACATGTTATAGTCTAATTGTGAGCTGCCACTTGCCCCATGACCATGTAAGGAACAATTACGTCGGAGCTTAGATTTCTGCTGAAGACGGAAAAATTCATAAAAAATTATATTACAAAAAATGTTTTCATTGTCAATGGCCAGTGTGTGACTGTCACTGGTATGGTGCCGGAAGTTCTATGTAAGAGAGTCAATAGCTGGTGTTGCCCTTTGTTGATTGTGCTCAGGTAATGATTAAATAACAATAAGGATATTTTCTGTTGCTTTTACAAGTGGTCATAGTGGTTTGATGAGTTAATGTTTATTGGCCAGACTTAGCAACTGGTAACACTCATGAAGCACCAGATCTACAACATTTTATGGCCCACAAAATGAACCAAACTAACCTACCAACCTAACCTAACCTAAAACACTATCTAACAACAAATTCAATTTAGATTATTTTAGGTTCCTTTGTACCTCCACGCGATCACTGAGATGAAGATAAAATGGCGCCAGACATCGGTTCATGGTGCCGAGTCTGTGATGTGAAGCTGCCAGAAATTTTCAAATTTATATCATGCTTGAGTTCGAGCATTTTTGTTTACTTTATGAGATAAGGAAGCATTACGTTCTATGGTGAAATGTCCTACACGTGATACTCGTGCTTAAACGCTTACTCGCGCTATTGTCGGAAATTATATTTTTATAAATTTTTTTATTTTACTCTTCGATTTCAGGTTTTGGGTTCTTAGGGTTCCTTTGTTTTTTCTTTTGTCTTGTTAAGTTTTGTTAGGTTACATCAGGACTTTCTGGTTAAGTTAGGTTAGATTTGATATGTACTGATATTTAAGTCGTTAGGTTTGATTTCGTGAATTTTTTTATGTGCTTTTACCCCACAATTTCCCTCTCCTTCAAAGACATGTCTACTTTAAGTGGTCAAAATTGGATTTCAATAAGTGAAATCGAAAAGAAAAGAGCATGAAAGATATAAATTTCCACCTATGTATTTTTTTTTCTCTGTCTCCCTATGTAAAAATCAATTTAAGAGTTCCGTGGATGACCTTTTCCGACCATTATACGTGGTACAAGTTTATATATGTACTGTATGAATCTTTACTAAATAAAATAAAATCAAGTAAACATGAGACACGTTAAGACTTATATTACAAGTTTGTTATTAATTCTTCCACATCAATTATTTTAGCACCTTCCCCTTGTAACTAATAACTAAGAAGAGAAAATACACCTTAAGATAAGAACACACTAGACAGGTACAAGTAACAGTGTTAAATAACTCACAGATCTAAAGCCCAGAAATTTGTAAACAAATATACGGCAGTTGTTGATTGGTCGACGTCTGAAATTTGTTCGATTCCCTTGATTTTAATATTTTTTTCATTCAAATAATATTTTATATTTATTGGTAGGTTTATTTAATTAATTTATTTAATATAATATAAAAGAAAATACTTAATTATTTAAATAAAAAAATTTTCAATGGAGATAATTTGAACCTTTAGTATATTGAAGCCAAACTCAAGAGAATTGAACATCTAGAGGGAAGCTGTGTATAAAGATTATATACGCCAAAAATAATAATATATGACAAAACTCAATTTTGAAGTTAAAATAATATATTAAAGTAAAAATTTATGCACTTCATAATATATTTTATTAACTTGAATCTTAATTTATGTTAAATAATCTTACTATAGACTAAATAATATAGACATTTACCTGGTTTACACATAGCCTCTCATTGTATATTGTTAATCTCCGTCAACAATGATGGCTCCTATATAGAGAATAGCTATTACATTTTTTCACTGTTGTTTGTATTTCTGCCACCCTTTTACGCACTGAAAATAAACATTTGATGGCTTTGTTGGACTATGCTTGATCGAATAGTTAAATATCTATTGTTAATTATTGATGAGCTATTGTAATTACTAACCTATTTACGTGCTTAAAGATCTGGTCTTAGTAGTTGAAGCACAGTAGTGCCATTAATTATAACGCCACCATAGAAGGGCGAATAAATGAGATCTGGAAAAAATGGAAAACTAACCTAAGTAACTTTAAGTAAACAAGCCAAAATAAAAAGATAAGACTTAAACACAAGCAATCAACCTCAACAAGCTAAAACCTTGCTTGTGGTACAGATATCAGTCCTTTGTACACCAAGCTGCGATAATATCTACTTGGGTAGTTAACACATCTTATGTATTGGATAAAGTAAAGGTAAAGTTGGGGTTTAAAGTTGGCGGGGTTATTGTGGCACGAGTCACTGAGGAGCGACCCAACTGGAGGCTCCCCGGCCAGCCAGCGTTATGTGTAGTTGTTTACCAGTGGTCTGAGAGGGGAGGAACAGTATGATATTATAGTGGATTCTCTTTCACCTTTGTCTCTATGGATCTACTGTAGATATGGTGAGTGTTTATGAACTATATCTGTATCTAAATTTGTCTTTTGTTTGGAGTTATAGCCAGTGACTTGAGAGTACTAGTTAATAGAGTACAGTTGTTCGCTGGGTCACATGAAAATCTACTGGGGAAGATATGACAAAACTCGAAACCAGAAACGAATAATTAGTTGTTTTCCATAATAACTGGCTGGGTTTTAGTGTCAGGGGCTAGAAATGAATGTATATTAGTCAAAATTCTCTCATCCTCTTGGTAAATGGCTGTATTAATCCTAGTATTTAAGTTCACAAAACTCTGTATGACATATGAACAATAATTATATACGTAAATTAAGCAATATACCTGTATAAGATTATCTCCTCATAAACTTAACTGCTTAATTATTCACGTAATTAATGCTTCTATGGTTAAGGGAAGATTGTTTCTGATAATTATTTGACATGATACATACAATTGTTTTTATGATTTAAAGGGAAATATAGTGATGAAGGAAGGTAGAAATTAATATGAGTTGAAGAAAATTATGAGTTGAAAGAGTGTGAAGTGTGTTGTGTTGAGTGTGTTGTCTTGTTGTGAAGTGTGTTGTGTTGAGTGTGTTGTCTTGTTGGTAAGTGTGAAGTGTGTTGTGTTGAGTGTGTTGTCTTGTTGGTAAGTGTGAAGTGTGTTGTGTTGAGTGTGTTGTCTTGTTGGTAAGTGTGAAGTGTGTTGTGTTGAGTGTGTTGTCTTGTTGGTAAGTGTGAAGTGTGTTGTGTTGAGTGTGTTGTCTTGTTGGTAAGTGTGAAGTGTGTTGTGTTGAGTGTGTGAAGTGTGTTGTCAGGGATGAGAGATGTCCCTATGAAGGTACTCCAGAATATTAATTGTGGTGGCGTAATTACCTGTTGAAGAGATTTTAGACACTATAGGCTGCCATCGTTACCAGTGACATCTAGGTGAGGAGAATGTTATTGTCAGATAATTAGACCTTTATCTCTCTTGTTCATGATAAAACAAGACTAGAACTTACCTGTGTTATTTAATCCCTTAACCCTTCACCAGAATCACAGGTTTTTAAAGGTATATTGATAGTGTTCGAGTATAAGGGTCTGGGTGAGGAATTAAAGTTTTTGTCACTTTCTTGGGAGGCTGTAAGTGACTGACAGTTGTTATTGATGGAATTTGGAGTTGATTTATGCGAAATTAATTTAAGTTGGTTGAATTCTGGTTTGTTTGCCTTATCACTGAAATATGAACACTGAAGGACAAAGAAGGACAGGTATAATGTGACTCACCTGTGTTTCTTGAAGTTCCAGTTGAAAGATAGAACTCCCCCACCCCCCTCCCATTAAAAATATGAAATCAGTGAAAGCCCAAAAATTTTTCTCAGTAAATTTCAGACAGTTTCAGTAAGTTACAGTTCAGCTCCTCCCCGAGTTACATCCTACTCGACTTACGACCACCCGGACATACGACCGCCTCACTCGTACCAAAATTTTGTCAAATTATGTATTTTTGAGTCCCAACGTCAGTGATTGCGCTGTGTACCGACAAAATTTTCGTTTGTAATTCACTTTAAAATGGCTGGCAAGCTTAAAAGTGTGAGTTTTGTGGTGCTGAGAAGAAAAAGAGACACCCATTTTAGATTTTGTATGTATTATTTAAGCATTTTCGACTTATGACCATTATGACTTATGACCTGGATTTGGGTCCCTAACCCCGTCGTATGTCGGGGAGGAGCTGTATATCAAGTGATTATTCTGGAAATACAGTACAATACTGGTAGGTGCTGTGGGTATTAACACCTTTCAGTACAGTATATTTATATATTTGATTCTGGAATATTTATTACCTCCTGAAAATTTCATTACAGGTTTACAGAACTTTATTCAGATTTTATTAGTGCTCATTTTCTTCATGGTATTGCCGTCTGCTTAACACAGCACTCTGCTTTGGTAATCCTCTTGTTGAACAGTATCACAGTAATGGGAGTGGACCTGTAGCTATGTAAGTATAGTACAATAGTTAGATAAGTTAGTTAAATGTGTTTGTGATATAAACATCTCTCTTTTCTGTTATACTTTCTTGGGATTCTCCGTCTCTCTCTCGTGGTGTGGCGGGGCTGTGGAGGCCTTAGGGCCTGGCAGTTAACAACGATCACTGGAGACCATATCTCAGATTTCCTGAAAAAGATGTGAGTGTAAGACCATAACTGAAAACTTGTTAGTTAGGTACCGGTACTCTACTATACTGTATATATATTATTTCTTTCCTATCACTTGACAAAAGGTGAGACATACTGTATACAGTACAGTAGTTATACATGTTTCACAATCCTGCATTTAGTTCTACACAATTTTGTACTTTGCTGCCTGGTCTGTGTTGTAAATTTGATCCTAATTATACTTAGTTATATTAGATCTGTTTAGTACTCTTCAGTTATAAGTAACTCTGCAGTACAGGTATTTAGTCAGTGGCGTGTACATTACACTCTACTGCACTGTATTATTAATATACAGTATTTTTGACTACCATACTGTACCTTGTATACATTTCTTCACTTTTTAGATCTTTGTAACAGAATCTTGAGAAACTTAATATAAATAGTTTCTTTCATTCTGTAGTGAATGGAGATGGAAGTAGCCAGTGGTAGGAGTGAGAGCTGTGTCCCAAAAAACTTTTCTCGGTATTTCCTAAAGTCTTCTTTCATGTGTATATAATTTGGCTATCAATGACCTTCACCAATGAAGTTCCTTTAGTGGGTTGAATATTTGTTTGGATTTTGGACAAATACTGGATATATAAATTACACTAGTGGTAAAGTATTTGTTATTGTGGAAATAGAAGGAATAAATTTCAAAGTTTTTATTAATTTTTCTCACAATTGAAGCGATGAAGGTCAGTAACACTCAGAATTTTTCACCTGAAGAGATATATGACTGTACTGGTCTCACACTTTAAAAGTGAGAACTGGAAGCACAGATCACCAACAGAGGTAAGAGGCTGTTGGGGTGTGATGCCTCACCAATATACACACACAGGCTATGTCTGTCAGCTATTACAGGACAGTAAGACTTTTACTCCCAGCCACTTTCTTTTCATGACTGGGAGTTAAGGCTTCGACACACAGTTCATATTGTTGTATTGAAGGCAAGATGTGATTTTTACCTGTATTTATGGTGATTTACAAAGATGGTTTACAGTTTTGATGTAAACCTTCTTGAATCTTAACAGGTGTCAATGGTCACCGGTAGGACTGAATAACTCTTGTTTGTGTCAAGGAGGTGATCCAATTTCACAAACTGTCCTTCAGTCTGTCTTCTTGGTCGTTTGGTTTACTGGCCATTGGGTTTAGAAACAAAAGCTTGATATACTGCTCACTTTTGTTTCTACTTAGGTTAGTTTTATTTTGAGTTATTTATTGTCTAACTCTTCATATAACGTTATGCAGACGTATGATAAAGTCTTCCGTAAAAATTGAATCTCGTGGTTCCTGTTGCTAGTTTGCTTCTGCCAGTTTCCAGAAGTTTGTGTCAAAAGTTAGAAATATGACCAAAGTTTTAAGTGTGGTTAGCCTCTGTTTCAAAAGTCACTTATAATCTCCTCCGACATGTTATATGTCTCCTTAGCTCCTTGTATTAATGTCAGTCCTGTTTAAAATATGACTAATGTACTTGTGTAACTTTTTTATTTTTGTACAATTCAATATTTATAGTGAAGTACCGGATGAGAAAGTGAGAGAGAGAGAGAGAGAGAGAGAGAGAGAGAGAGAGAGAGAGAGAGAGAGAGAGAGAGAGCACCTATATTTCTACTTGTTGTCTTTGTTCTTGTCTTTCATATTCTAATGCACCTTTTCCCTCTATCATACCCCCCTTACTATGAAGTGTATATACACCCTGATAATAGATAGACAATTGCATACATAATTTGGATCTTGTTTCAGTACCAATCTTAACAACCTATTTTGTATATCAGAGAAGTAGTATTTTATGATAACAATAGCAAATGGAACTGTTTGGGTGAGAGTGAAACACAAGTACTGTAATTAAAACCTTGTGTAAAGTGTCAAGTAAGTTCTGGGATAGACAGAGGAATGATCCGAGATGTGTGTGTGTCCGACCTCCAGCTTGGTGATCTGAGTGTCTCCTGTTACGTCACTCTACACCTCTCCCTTTATACCAGCCCCACATGTTAAAGGATTATGTTATATCACCCCTTTCTGGATATCTCATTGTAGTGTATATTTTTATAAGTTCTTGTACGTAAGTTATCTTGTGTTAATTTATTTTTTAAAGTGTAAATACATTATTGTTTGTAATTTGTTGTTGAGTTACTGATGTTTATTTATTTTTTGTTTTCTAATGGTGTTCCTCCCTCCCCCCAGATCGTGTATACTGAACTCTCTTTCCAATATGTTTTAAGGTGTACTCGTGGGACTTGACAAACTTTTGCAATAACATCAATCACCTACAGCTTCTACCACCACTACTGGCCCTTCTTCCTCCTCCTCCTCCTCCTCTCATTTTTGTTTCTCCTCTCCCTCCTTCCCTCACTTCTTCCTCCTCCTCTCTTGTTTCTTCACTCTCTCCCTCCTCCCTTTCCTCTTCTCTCTCCACTTGTCTTCTCTCCCTCTTCCTCCCATTGTCTTGTCTTGCTCCTCCTCTTTATAAACCTTTCTTTCTTTCCACATACTTTTTCCTTCCCTATCTTAGTTCCATGGTCCTTCTCCCATTACCCCTAACACCCAACTCCCATATCTTCAGTGTCAACCATTTATATGACTTGTGCTGCATTTTTTATTCCCTGTCATAAGTATAATAGTTGAGTCAAAGAAAAACACAAGACGCGTTACATTTACATTCTGTGCCTTATGTTCCGAAACCCACGACGAAGAATTCTGGTAAAGGTTCAGACTCAAATCTCGAAGCTTCACCGTCACTCTACCCAAATTCTTCATTACGGGGGCAGGGGGGTGTAACGCGACTCTTTTCTTTGACTGTACGGTACGTCTCCTACCGCCACGTCATGTAACC